TGTTCCAAGGATGGAAAGAATTAAAAGCCATCATGTTTTCTTTTGACTGCATTWTGTGAGTTTGACGAAGCTCAAATTTGAATGATAACGGAATATTTCATCTGACGACTTTGTGAGTTAGAAAGCTGTATCATATGAAACAAGGAACTRATGGAACAGCGACTGTAAGCAGAACGCGAATCATGTGATGGAAAAATTAAGAACCAGGATTAGTGTGATTTCGAATGCAATATAATTCATCATATTGCATACATTTATATGTAATTTACGAAGATTTAATCTAAAACAATTTAATTTTAAGCATTACAGAATCTATAAAGATAGGTAGGTAATAAAAATTATTCAAAATAAAATGTTTAAAGTCACTTCACTGCATCTGACCTTTAAGGCATACCAAGTTAAGCAAAGTTTTTTGAAATACCTCAGAACTGATGATGGATAAGTCATACAAATGTAATAACGTTATTCCTAAATTTGTTTATTTGGTCGCATCAAATATTGCTGAAGAGTCAACAATTGAGTCCATTCTTGCCTAATTAGGAAGCATTTTGCTATAGGCTCAATATAGGTTTAACTATTGGATGGATTTGCATCAATGGGTCCCCTACGCAAACAGAGCCACATTTAAGCCGATTTACATTTCTAACGTTTTTCCTTTGCTTTCAACGGGGGAGTTCAAACGCTAAGAAGAAAAAGGGTGTTTCCTAGTTACCGGCGGGTATTAACAGTCCATTTGGCCTAGCTGAAGAGACCCGCACTAATCAACTGGTATAAATGGATAAATCAAAATAAAGTATGGACACGTGCACATGTTTGAGTTGATGGTTTTCGATGATACGCTTAATGGCTTAAGCAAAGTCGTTGAAATAATTGTTTGCTGATCTTCCATGATGTCCAATTAGGTAATTGATGTTGACGAATACAATTTTGCTCTAGTCGCTCATTCATTTTCTATTTACTGCTCTTTTTTAAAACCCATTTTAGTTTCGCTATAACAACAGCTGTTTGGAGCTCATATAATTAGGGATTACTTGACTTGAGCTTTTCCTTTGTCCACTTTATTATTAATATTTTAATAACTCAACATTTTTCTAGCTTTTTGTTGARGTTATTTTACCACATATTGTTTCAACAAAGTTTTCTTCTGTGTTTTYGATTTTTTCAACCGTAGTACCTACTATTAGCTTACAGTACACATATTTTATCAATTTATCTAGTCATGGKGGAAAATAAACCCGAAAGCGTGTTAAATGTATTAATTGAAACTCATGAAACATACCAAAATGGATATCCGCAAAGTTTGAAAACTCTATTTTATTTTAAAATGGCTGAGCAAAAATTAGAAATAAAATTTGTTTTTTTCTATGTGTAACTCAATTCTTAAAGATTCGTGCCTAGTCTACATTTGCCTGTGGTTTCTAAGTTTGTTTTGTTAGGTATTATTTAAAATGGCAGATTTATTTCATTAATTTTATATATTTATAAAACTGCATTTACCTAAGTGTTCTTTAATATCGGGGGAGTGCTCAGAAAAATTAAAAAAAAACTTGCCGTGGATTTCTGCTTGCAACTGAGCCTTATTTTGAGGAAACTATTTCGCTCCGGCAAAAATTTCGCTTCTTCCATCCAATTTACGAAAAACGCAATTCGGCCGAAAACGCTTCCAAAATCTCTGACATGACACAGACTATGACTATGTGGGTCATTTCATAAATAGAAAACGCTTGACAATTAATTCATTATAAAAGAGCATTGTCGCTTCCACGACATTTGCATTTAACGTCGGCAATTGTTAAATAGCAAAGACACAGAAATATTTTTTTGCGCAAAAAAATTGAATATTACAACATTTTTCGAAAAGCACAAAAATTCAAATAAATTGTTAGTGCATCAACTCAAAAAACTAGCTGATTTCAGCTGTCTAAGAAAAAAGTTCTGTTAGTTTTGGTACTAAGACGATCAAGAATTCATTTSCTTCCCAAAGCGGATCAACTCGGTTGCTTTTTCAAAATTTGARWCTTATATAGGAGCAAATTCACGGCGAGTTTTATTTACATCCGTCCTATCATTTGAAAAAGCATACTTTTTTTAGAACTTTGACCATGAATCAGATCTTCATCTTTTGAGCCAAAGAATAGCGACGCAGTGCGCKTTTGATCGTGAGCTWACGGGACACCGTGTACACATAAACGCAGCACYTACGAACGAGTAAACTKTATCTTACTTTTTAATGTAACACTRTTRCTCTCAATGTCGATCTTTAGACCCTGASAAGAATTTACTGAGAAGTTATATGGTTTTGTGCAAAATTATGGAGTCCTAATCAAAATATCTTGGAATCCGCGACGGCAAACCAAATTTATATCAAAGTTTGTATCAAAAGAATKCACCCATAAGGCMGAAATTACGCCCGATCTAACTATAAATATCTCATTGTTAGTTAGGTAATAAACCTATCTGTCAGATGGTCAGTTGAGTTGATGAACCATTTTTTAAATAAATGAAACTGATAATGTGCCAGAAAGGGGAGGTAAGCTTTCTCCTAGAGGTGATATAAACTAAAATTATTTATATAGGACCTCCATTCCAATAACTTCAAGTATAAAATTTATCGGGTTCCAGTAAAGAGAAACACATTTCTGTTAATTGCAGAAAAAGGAGTAATCTGAAACAATGTTATATCGACGCTTAAAATGTACGAAATTTGGTACCTACGTGCACAAAATTTCATACAAACCGGGTGATGGGTTTACGAGATATTTTAATTATTTCATAGCTTTATATCACCCTCCATCAAGAAGTAAGTTTCTCAGATCTCGAAGAATGGTGAAATCCTGCTGCAGTATAAAAACCTTCCAAACCATCAACTGACAAGGAAACAAATTCTGAAAACAATAAGCAGCATTGGAAAGTCAGTTCATTGATTGGCCATTATCCGTAAATCCTAGCCAGTTTTTTAATTTCGAATTTAGCAGGATGGTCCCTGAATTCTTCAGCACAGTTAAAATATCACCGCGAGAAAACACAACAGGGTTTCACGCCCTTGAAGCCGCAACAAAAACAAATTGAGGGCCAGAAAATTGTATGGGGGGTTGTGTGTATATGCTCTCGTTTACCCTTGTTATCTCAAGACTACAGTAGCGATGTGGCAGGAGGGACGCAGCCGGTGCTGAGTGCAAACACAGATAAGACCCTAAGTGGCCCTTTGGGCTCAAATCGCTCGCTGCGAACAGGACAACTCTATTAGCACAACAGCACCATTGGCCGCGATAATTCAGGAGCCTGCTGACCGCGCATATGCTCTAATTAATTTCATTTTATGAGTTCAGAAATGTGGTTAATGGGTTT